GATGGATGGATGGATGGATGGATGGATGGATGGATGGATGGATGGATGGATGGATGGATGGATGGATGGATGATGGATGATGGATGGATGGATGTGAAGTCAGTCAATAACACACACCACTCAGAAATAACACATAAAAGGTACTACATAACAATATTTTAATAACATATATTTATTATTATTTACCCGTTTTCAGATTTCCTGACTGACTGAACCACTTGCCACACTGGTCACACAAGAATACACAACAATACACACAATAGTGCACAATAATTCTTCTTATGAAGAATGGAAAGGCTTGTGAGACTAAAACAGACATTTGAGGATAAATTCTATAATGTTTGAGATTTTACATTAGTTGTATAACACATATCAATAGTCTACTATATGTTTTTCTTTAATTTATTATTTTGTTAGTTAAAAAAAACATTCTACCTAATGTTGAACGTTAACTGAACATGTCTAACTATTTTAGCTTCCGTAAAAACTTAAAGACATAAAAACCTGGACGACCCTACATTTTCTGCTTTTGAACACAGACAAGATTTAGGTTTTGGTTTTTAGACCAGAGCATCTTAGGAATAAATCTTTCAGTCTTTCTCCCTCCTTGGATGGCATTAATCTGGCCTACAGATCTAATGTTAAAAATCTTGGTGTTATTTATGATCAGCATATGCCTTTTAATGCCCACATTAAAAACGTTAGTAGAACTGCCTTCTTCCACCTGCGTAATATCACTAAAATTAAAAACATCTTATCTAAAAATGATGCAGAAAAACTGGTTCATGCATTTGTCACGTCTAGAAAATGTCTTCAGTTAATCCAAAATGCTGCTGCCAGAGTCTTAACTGGAGTTAGTGGGAGAGATCATATCTCTTCAATTTTTGGTTCTCTCCATTGGCTCCCTGCCAAATTCAGAATAGAATTCAAAATCTTACTTCAAACCTACAAAGCTCTCAACAACCTAGCTCCATCTTATATTCGAGATCTTATTGTTCTTTGGAAGTCAGCAGAAAGAGATGAAAAGTATTTTGAGTCTTGCTTTATTCTCAACGTCTTCCAACATCAAAACCAGAAAAAAGAATGGATGACAACCGTTGGTCTTCTTCACTTATATTCTGTCCCTTTCACAATAAGAGCCTACATTCTGGAGTGAAATGTTTGTGTCCACCACACAGGCACCCCCTGAACACACAGAATGTCACAACGTGAAACCGCATCACAGGTGTAAAACACAAAAAACAAATGAAATACCTAACGTAATGGCTAAGGAGTTTAATCAGGCGGCCACATCGGCTGCTCTTCACAGCAACCGGGGTTGAAAGTGGAGGAGACTCTCTGGACCGACTGCCACGAAACTGTCGACCTGAAGGAGGACAACCCAGCTGTAGGGGAAAACCTGGAAGAGTGGGCAAAGAAACTGGGGGATGGCCACGACGAGATGGCTGAGCCAACACAACCGGGTCCCCTAGTTTCTGATGTCTGAGCAAAGACTTTGTATTGACATGAAGAAGAAAAAAATGCTCCATGGATTTATCTTCTGATTTACAAAAGGCGCACAAATCAACCTCAAATTTAAATCTTATTTCAAGAAACATGGCTACAGCATATATCTTATTTATTATTTAAAATGATTCTCCTTCACTTTAGGAGATTTAGGCCATTTGACAAATTTAGAATGAGCAGAAGTCATTCTGGTTTTATGATTTATAATGGGAGGTTTCTTGAAGGAATCTTTGTCGCAAACATTCATTGATAATCTTATTGCATTTGAAGTCAACTAAGTTACAGTCATTTCAATTTAATGTGGGCATCGAATTGTCACCTTTGAATATATAATATTTTTAATTAATTGAATCAGCTGTTGGTCAGGCTACTACTTGTTGTGCCATTAGCTCTAAAATAGTTATTGAATCAAGTTTACATATGTAGGTAAAACTAAATGTTTAACAACCATTAAAATACACAGAATGCAGGAAATGGCATCTACTTTTTTCAAAATTTTCTGGGGGAGGACCCCAGACACCCCCCGCCCCCCCCCCCCCCCAATTACAAATGCTTCTGACACCAGTAGCCAACACGTTGCTAAACAAGTACACATGATGTCGTATGGTGTTCAAAGTGCGTTCAACTTAACTCAGTCTTTATGATTTGGGTCAACAAGAGGACATAGCATTTAAAGTGGATTTTTAAAACATAAAAATACACTTGATAGAATTGTAAGTATATTTACTGTATGTTATGGTAATTTATTCTGTATTTTGACAGATTATGTTGATTCTGGGCTCGTGATGATGGGGCCCTTGAAGATTATTGCCCAGGGTACAGTGAAGTGTTAATCTGGCCCTGAGTAAGAGGAGGGATAATAAGCCCTCCTTCCTGTTTTATGAACCATTAAAATCACAATATTCTTCATTATGTAGATTAAAAAACTTCAAAACTGCTAGAATCATCTCACAACAGATAAAAGTTATTGTTTTAATTAAAACAATGTTCTTCATATGTCACGCTCCTTTGTTTTTTATTTATTAAATTTTTATGTTTTTTTTTTTTCTGTTTCATTATTTTGTGAAATGTAGTTATGACACCCTTCACGAGTTTGTAATTGTATATTGTTGCATTGTTCTGTTTTGTGTTGTTCATAAAATTCTAGGAAAAAAAAAAATCTGACGGGCTTGTCAGCAGGTAAGGGGCGTTTACCTTCGGGACAAATTGAGGTCGTCGATTGGTCAGTTGCTGACACGCCTACTGGATTGATTGACAGGTCGTGCCGTGCAGGATCCGACTTGGTTAAAAAATTTTAAAAAACGAGAGCTGTAGCAGCAGCGCTGGGAGGAGGCGGGGCGGCCCAAATGCAGCGGCAGCGCAGCCGTCTCTCTCTGCAGCGCAGGGCTCCAGGAGATGACCAGATATTTTGCTTTTGCCCTCACTGCTCTGGGCCCCTTAGAGATCGTGGCCCCCTGGGCAGTTGCCCAGTTGCCCTTATGGTTAATCCGGCCTTGCCTACAGATTGTAAAAAGTTTTGTCCTTTCAGGAAGATAATTAATTCTTAAATGTTTATTTTTCTTTATCCTCAACCTATAAAAGAAGTTATTGGCTATTTAGAGGTCAGAACATGCATCATAACAAAATGTTCTTTTTTCCAGTGATTGTGCTGAGTCAGCTTTCACACTACGGGTTTTTCTTTTTATAGTTTCTTATGCACATTTTTATTTCATACTACTTTCACATGCGTTTTGCTATTTTAACCATTTCTGTCTTCTTTTGCTTCTTCTAGCTTTTAGCTAAAGTTCTGCTCAGTTATTTTATGTTGTGGTTACCATTCTCTTTCTTTTAGCGTTTAGTTAGATTTAGCCTTAAACGTCTAAGTATTTTTATTTATGTTATGTTTTTATTCATTTTATTGTTCTGATCATCTTAGCTTCCATAAATTGCTCTTTTTGTAAACTTTAGTTTGGGCCTTTTCAGCAAATTTCAGCAGTCATTCGGCACTCACTCTGCAGAAAAAAAGCTGTTTCGCTAGTACTGGTAAATAATAGAGGGTGCAGATGGTCAGTGCTGCAGTCTTGTAATCTTGTGGCTGCAGGTTTGAGCCCAGATTGTGTCACGAAGAACAATTTCCAAATCTTTCATGCCGGGTTGCTCATTGTTGCGATTCCTGGAGGGGAGCAGCCAAAAGAAAAAACAACTCCTACCTAGTATCATGTGTTTTTATCTTTTTGATGTGTTGAAATAATGTCCCACAGAAATGAGGATTGTGGGAAGTCTCACGATGGGAGAAACAATTCCTTAATCACTTTTTGTTTTTGTCTCTCAGGATACATGGAAGTGGCTCAGATCCCAAAAGGATCAATTTACATTGACATCAGAGAATCTGTGGTGTCAAAGAATTATATAGGTGAGTACCTGAAGCGAATTACATTGTCATAGGTTTTCTACACTTGTGTTAAGAATGGAGCTTATAAAACTAACAATATCTGAATAAAACTGTGGAAGAAATACAAGTTTCCACATTACAATATCAAGTTTATGATTTCAAGTGAAATGTCTTTTTTTATGCAAAGCTCCTATTATTGTGGTTGTAACAGTACACAGTTCAGTGAAACTTGGTCAGGATGAGGCACTCAGTCAGAAGCATGAAATAATTGCTGGACATTTACGTACTTGCACAAGGCTTTTAATAATCTGACACCAGATGGAGAACAGGGGATCACTTAAATGATACGGTCACCAGGTAAGAATAATTATTCTGCTTACAGCAGAGCAGGTGGGTGCAGAGATAAAAGACAGGCATGAATCATAACATTCCCACTCTCTTATAAAGACTTCATATGCTCTTAACACTTTGGCGATGAAGAAGATGACGATGAGATGAATGTACAGTACTGTACAGCATGTACAGTACACAGAATATTAAAACAATGGATTAAAAAAAACCACGATTGAGGAAGTGAAGCCTCAAGAAGTGAACCATGATATAGCAAGGGGCAACAGTATCTTATCTTTGTATTTTTCCTGGAAGTTGCATTTCTAACATCCTTCTACAAATATACCCACTGTCCCTCCTCTGGACATGTCCAAACCACTGTCCCTCCTCTGGACATGTCCAAACCATCTCAGTCTGGCCTCTCTAACTTTATCTCCCAGTTCTTCAACCTGTACTGTACCTCTGATGATCTCATTCCTAATCTTATCCATCTTTGTCACTCCTACGGAGACCCTCAACATCTTCATTTCTGCCACTTTCATTAATTCAGCCTTTAATTATACAGATTAATCCCACTGAGACTTGGGGAATCATTTACAAAAGAGACCTGAATTTAGCAGAGTGATGACAATAGTGGACAACAAAGACAATAATAATAGATAATCATGAAGGATGCGTACAAATTGGGAATTTTTTAACAAGTGAAAATAAAATGGGGGAAGAATGGTGGTGCAACTGGTAGAGCTGCTGCCTCTCAGCAAGCAGGTCCTTGGTTCAAACCCCGGTCCAGGGGCCTTTCTGGGTGGAGTTTGCATGTTCTCTCCGTGCATGCGTGCGTTTTCTCCGAGTGCTCCGGTTTCCTCCCACAGACCAAAAACATGCATGTTAGGCTGATTGGTAACTCTAAATTGTCCCTAGGTGTGAATGAGAGTGAATGGTTGTTTGTCTCGTTGTGTCTGGACTCTATTTTCACCTCTTTACCACACTCCATTCATAATGCAGCATGATAATATTTTGTTTTATAACACTACTTTTGTTTAATTTTTATTTTATATGCATTTTATGGCCATTTATTGTTGTGTGTACCTTATCTGTGGTTTGTATAAAACAGGTCTCTTTTGAAAATGAGTCCTCGTGATTCAATTAGACTAACCTGTATAAATAAAGATTGAAAAAAATCCAAATTTTCCTGGACAGTGGACCCCAAGTACTTGAAGTCCTGCACGTTTGTGACCTCTGCTCCTTGTAGCCTCACTGTTCCACCAGCCTTCCTCTCATTCACACACATGTACTCTGTCTTACTACGGCTGACTTTCATTCCTCTTCTTTCAAGTGCATTCCTCCACCTCTCCAAGTTTTCTTCCACATGTTCCCTGTTCTCACCACAGATCACAATGTCATTTGCAAACATCATAGTCCACAGGGATTCCTGCCTGACCTCATCTGTTAGTCGGTCCATCACCAGAGCAAACAAGAAGAGGCTCAGAGCTGATCCTTGATGCAATCTCAACTCTACCTTGAAGCTATCTGTCACTCCTACAGTACATCTCACCACTGTCCTGCTGTCCTCATACATGTCCTGTACCAATCTAACATACTTCTCTACCACTCCAAATTTCCTCATGCAATACCACACCTCCCTCAGCACCCTGTCACATGCTTTTTCTAAATCCACAATGACACAATGGAGTTCTTTCTGACCTTCTCTGTACTTCTCCATCAGCATCCTCAAAGCAAAGATGGCATCTGTGGTGCTCTTTCTTGGCATGAAACCATACTGCTGCTCACAGATAGTCAGTCACCTCTCGTTTAAGTCTAGATTTTACAACTTTCTCTCAGATCTTCATTATGTGACTTATCAACTTAATTCCCTTTGTAGTTGTCACAACTCTGCATGTCACCCTTGTTCTTAAAAATGGGCACCAGGACACTTCTCCATTCTTCTAGGATTCTCTTAAGCTATTGAATATTTGAGTAAAAAACCTCACTGCAATCTCTCCAAGACATTTCCAAACCTCCACTGGTATGTAATCATGTCCTACTGCCTTCCCCTTCTTCATTCTTTTCAGAGCTTTCTGAACTTCACCCTCACTAATCTATTCCACTTCCTGGTCCACAGTTTCTATAGCTATGTTTACATGGACATAAATAACTAGATCAAACGGCCATTCGGAATAAAAACGCGTCTTGTAAACACCCCGTTCGGGTTATTTTTTGTTTATTCAGCGTGATCCAAAATAATTTGTGATCAGAACGAAACAGGTAGTTTACACCGATGCATAACCCGAATGGTGCACATGTAAACGCTTGATCTGTTTGTTTTTATTTGATGGTGGAAAAACTCACCTGACAAGCACATGTGCGACTTTGTCATTTCCGCCTGGGTAATGCTGATAATATTAGCATGTCGGGGAAGCAAAACTGGTCGGTGAGCGACACAGTATTTCTACTAGAAACTTTGAAAGAGCTCAAAATGATCTGTATTACTTGTAGCTCAGTCAGGGAGTGCAGCAACGTCTCCACCATCATTAAAACCTGTCGCAGGTCCATTTTGGATGCTCAGGTTTGTTTATGTTCATCCCAGAAGTAAACTGGAAGTAGAACTTCTTCAGTGTTTTTTAAGGAGAGTTTACTTCACTGAAGGTTCTTAATGACGTTGTTGAAGCACTGGATGCTAAGGATTATTGTGCTGCACTTTTCTTAGACCTGTCTAAAGCTTTTGACACTGTGGATCAGAACATCTTGTGTCATAAACTCTCAGAAATCGGTTTCTCAGATCACACCATTGGTTGGTTCTCTAACTATCTTTCAGACCGGAGGCAATGTGTTCAACATAATGGTATTTCCTCCAGTTATTTAACATTCAATAATGGTGTACCACAAGGCTCAGTCTTAGGACCCACCCTCTTTACAATCTACATACATAATGTAGGTAAAAACATCCCTAATGCATCCATACATTTCTATGCTGACGACACAGTTGTTTATTGTCGAGCTAAAACAGTTGCTAAGGCTTTCCAGCTTCTGAAATCTGCATTTAACAACATCCAGACTGATTTGTTTCACCTCAAACTTGTCCTAAATGCCGAAAAAACCAAAGGGATGCTTTTTTTCAAATAGGAAGTTGGTCCCAGCAGTTCTTCCTCCGATTTTATCCTCAAATGGTGTCCCCATTGAGTTTGTTGATTCCTATAAATATTTGGGTATCTTGGTCGACTCACATCTTTCTTTTAAGCTCCATGTGGAAAACTTGGTAAAGAAACTGAAAGTTAAACTGGGTTTCTTTTTCAGAAACAAATCCTGTCTAACCCTGAATGCTAGAAAACGCCTTGTATCTGTGACTTTCCTTCCCTCAATTGATTTTGGTGATATTATTTACATGAACGCTCCTACAAGAACCCTGCAGATGTTGGATGCTGTCTATCATGGTGCACTAAGATTCATAACTGGCTGTGATTATCGTACCCACCACTGCACCCTGTATTCA